TAGCGCCCGGTAAATGGATGATCAATGAGATTTGTTATTTACCATGAAATATGATTACCATCCATACTACGAATATATTTGTTATGTTGTTATTTCGGATATATAAGAGCATTCTGACGTGTTAATCAGCGTATTTTCAGTTTCAGGTTTTGTTCCACATTCAAATTGAATTTGACAGCGAAGAGTAAATGAAATGAAATGAATGGAGTTTTACGTCATACTTAGCGAAGAGTAGAGGTAAGGAATATTTATTTAGTCGAAAACTCTCTAAGAAGTTAGAATATATACTGGGTTTTTATATCATTATGGCTATAACTGAGATGGGTGGAAAGAAACTGGCACCGTTAGGACAATCTTGGTCGATGGTTCAAATAAACTTTCAGATTGTCAACGCCCTTGTGCGGTTAAACAGATATTTCTGAATTATTTTTATGAATTTGAATATCAGCTTCATTACATTATTGATAGCTTTAGAATGACTTCGTATATTTAGAAAATTTCCCCCGAAAATGACCCAACTTTTTTTCCCTCTCTAAAACAAAATTCAAATTGAAAATAAGTGTCAATTATTACTATCAAGGCAGCGTCATTCTAAGATCATCTGCATGCTCCTGCAATGAAACTGGTGTTTGTCTGATGGACCAATCACAACTTAGTCTCAAAAAAACGAGAATTTTTTGTTTAGCTAAGCCAATAAGTAATAGTGTTGACAACTCACAGTCGAAATTTGAGTCTTCAAATTCGTCTGTGTCAGGAATTATCTGCGTTTTGAGAAATGTTTTTTAAAAGAAATATTTAGCTTAGCGAAAACTTAAGGAATAATTTATTATTTGACACCTAGGTTGTATTGATGATAAAATATTGTTATATGAACTATAAACAACGTGTAATGTTCGTGAGAGTCAAACGCAATACACCTTACAGTTCATTTTGAGCAATCTTAGAACTTTTGGACTGTTTGTAATAAAAGAATTCTGTTAATTATAGCAGGCAATGTAAGAACTTCTAGGCTGTTTGTAGTAAAAGAATTATGTTAGTTATAGCAGGCAATGTAAGAACTTCTAGGCTATTTGTAGTAAAAGAATTCTGTTAGTTATGCAGGCAATGTAAGAACTTCTAGACTGTTTGTAGTAAAGTAAATCATCAATACCGTTGAGCATCAGAAATATTCCTGTGAAAATGTCCCATATTTCGGACTAAAAAATTTGTAGAGCGATATAAAAAACAATTATGAAATATGTTGTTACTGAGTTTTACGCTGTGCGATCCTCAGATAACTACTGGTCGGAAAATTGCAGAGCTGTATATAAAGATGGCTCTGGAAAATTGAAGCAAAATTATTTGTAGTCTGATGTCTGAGGTCGATTGTCTTTTCTTCCTTAACTCGGAACGAAGAAGCATCTCTTTAACTGGTGGTCTATATTTTGTATTTGACATTTATATTATAACTGCTTGTTTATGAGATAACAAACACGTATGAAATGAAATCAAATTGTTCGAAAACAGTTGACGTATATTTTGGACGTTTCATGTATATAACAGGTGCTCGTTCTAACTTTTAAGCAACCAATGCATTGTGGGTATCTCTAAGGTAAACTACAAAATGGCGGTGATTGAAAACATGAAGAAATGACAGAATTGTAATATTTTTCTACTGAACTATTTATCTTTGAAAACAGTAAAAAAATATATCACGAGGTATTATGTGATTTCTTTTTCATATCGTTACGGTTAGATCTAGGTCATATGACTTTGCACTTGATCGATGATGCCTTTTCACCCTTTTTTTCTAGCTTAGGCCTAGCTTTGCTTCAACAGTTTCCTTACTAACTTGGACCTTGCTATTTTGGCTTTTATTTTGAATAGTGAAAATATTTGATGGTATTTAGTATATATCCCTCGTCTGCTTCTGCTCGATTTTATTGTTGTCAAGTGAGACCACTATTTTTAAGACTCGAACCAATGTTTTTTAAAAAGTGGCCTGTGTTATCTTTTAAACTAATACATCTTGATTCATCAACATTGTAAATCAATAACCAATGTAGAAAGAGTTCGCAATATACACTTACTATTTTCAACTAACACCAACATTCAGAAGAGACCTTTGAAATAATTGCACATGATTTCAAGCCAAAATTAAATCAAATATTGGCATCGTTCAGGCATTCCACCATAAAAAACAAACTATTACTCAGGTTTGTTAATAAAAATTCTTTTCAATCAAATTAAAAATCTAAGCAGTATTTTCTATTTTCAACTTTATTTGCAGATTTAAAGCCCACTACCACTTTATAAGCCTTAATGAAGTAAAAGTAGTATTCAAGATCTAAACTTCATCATGTCTGAGGGACGAGGGGAATCAAGAATCAGCCACCTCAGTCAGTATTCAGAATCAACTGTTATCAACCAAGATTTGGGAGAAATTGATTTGTTGGATGCCGATACCAAAACAGCTTCAAAAACCAAACTGACACGATTTGATTTGTCTTCACTTTCTTATGGCTACGTTTCTACACCAGTTAAAAAAGATCAAAGTGGTAGGCCTAAATCGACCAGTTTTCCACAGGGTAACAGAAACATAGCTGAAGAGTTGAAACAAAGATTGTATCATAAACCAGAGAATTCTAGAGTCTTGATTAATGCTAAATATCAGTCAAAAAGAGAGCCATTACCTCATATTGGGGTAAGTTATGATATTTTTTAGTAGATTGATCACCTTCCTTTAACAATTCAAATTCCTAAACCTTATTTAATGGCTAGTACAATCATGTGCTTTAACAGATAATAGATCTCTCTGATTGATTTCAACTATCCAATGGGAAGGGAAAGTTTTTGTTGAATTTTCTCAACAGTTTTGATCTTGCAAACTGTCTATTGATACAAACTTAGTACAGGAGTTAGTACAGAATTGTCAAGATGGCTTGGCCTGCACCAGTGGAATGCCACTGGGCAAAAGGAATCATAAATGTCTACATCGTAAAATATAAAAATCCACATCATCAATCCACATGTTTTTTATCTGTTCAGGGAGACCATATTCGACCATTGTCTGGTAAAAAAGATACTGTTGGAACTGGTCCTGTATTTAAAACGACATTATTCAAGAAAGATTATGATAGAAGACAACAACAGTTAAAACCTACTACAGACCCAACACCAGAACATTATATTAATATACATAAATTGTAAGTTCTGATTGAATTTTATACACACACGCACAAATAAATTCCAAAGAATGCTATTTATATCTTGATCACACTGAATTTGTTATAAAAGGGTGAACTAAAAATGGAGAGTACTAATTGTTAATTAATCAGTTTGACCTAATTTTGGTGTTTGGCTTTATAATGGCTAGGTGTTGTTAGTAAAAATTCTTTGAATATGTTGGAAACATATTTCTCTACAATTAGGCATCTATTTTATTCAAATCCGTACAGGAGTCAGGAGTTTTCTAACAGCTTCCAAAATTTATAACAGACTTTAAAACCTTATGTAATATTTTGAAATATTTTTGCCGTTTAAAAATCAACTGCTGGATTTTTTTAGTTAAAACTGTCAGATACGTTAAAGGGCATATTTTATAAGATTTTTTTTTATAGTTTTCTCAAATTTCACAAATTTAACATTAAATTTAATCAGTATTTCTTATATTTTATGTTTATGTATTGTAGAAAAAGGTCGAAAGTAAATGATGCTGAAATAACTGGTATTAATTTAGACAGTGTGATTATGCCAAGATCTGATAATGCTTCTGTATTGAGACATGGTAGTGCTCAGGGTACTGCTCGCTCCACGAAACCAGATGTTGTTCATCCTCCAGTTCCTCCTCTAGAATCTAAACCAGTCTTACCTTCAACAAATGGTGGTAGAAATATTGTCTCACAAGGTAGATTCTTTATCAAGTTTCTTACATACCAGACTGGATATAATTTGACAGGCAACAAAAAAACAACAAAAAACAAATAAATAAGCTCTTCCAGCACCTAAGTCTAATATTTATTTTTAGAAGGTATGCACGTGTGGAAAAGTCCACTAAAGAAGTTAAGGGGTGTCAAATTGGTGACTGGCAAAATATATCCAGCCTTGCTTACATATTCCAACCTCTGTTTTAAAACTAGCTGTCCTGTTTAGGATTTTAGAACAAGTTAATACATTGTTAGCAATGGGGTTTCAAATTGCAATGATTTGACTTACCTTTTTGTTTTTTCAATCTTTTCCTCATCTGGTATATGGGAACCAGGATTCTTACCATCTAAATGTATTGCATAACTTGCTTAAATTAAAACATCAAAATGATAATTTCAGAAACTGGTTATGACAAATTCTCTTTCCGTTTCAGAATCTTCATTGGGAGATAAAAGAAGACCAGAAAATTCATTTGGTTCTTCAAGAAGGGAAAGTGATGCCGAGTCATTTGTCACATGGGATGATGAAACAGATGGTTTTGTTAAATATGTTGGTGAAATGCCTATCATAGATAAACCACAGATAACTGGCTTGCTTTCAAAATCTGAGGGCATCATTTCTAAATCCAAACAAGTGCTTGCAAATGTTCATCGGGCTGGAAGTGCACCTCAGAATAGACAGGAGATTTTCCGTGAGAAATCTAGTGTGATGCAATATGATGATCCCAATCAGAGAATGATTCCTAATTACTTAAAACGTAACAAATATGATGATAAAGGTAATTTTTTTAAAAGAGTCAAATATTATGGGAATTGTAATTTGCATGAATAAATAGGTTCCATAATTCTTTTTTTTTTATTGGTTATTGCAAATTTTAAATTATTCATCATCGTTTTCAGTATTCCCTAGCTTGAAAATTTTGAAATTATATGTTCTTTTCGGAATTTTGGATTTTGTTACTTAATCATTTATGAAATTGACATGCAGGATCTTTGTTAACATAATGGTTGTAGAGGTCATTGTGGTCTTGATCAGTTACAGAACTTGCAAATGAGCATTTCCTTTTTTGACCATTATGTGATTATTTTGTAGTACCTGAGAATGATGATGCTTTATATCATATTATTAAGATGAGGAGAGATTTGGGTTGGATTACAGAGTTACCACGCCATGGTCCTGGCTGTAAACTCATCATGGAGAAAATAGCTGCTATGCCAGTAGAGAAAGTTGTAAGTGTCTAATTAAAGTAATTTAATATTGTGATCTTAAATAAGCCTGTTGAGTTGTCTCCCTTTGGTGTGGCCTAGGTAAAGGAATTATATTTTGTTAAATGCTGTATATAAATGGAAGGTATGTTGAATATCTTTTTTATTATAATTTTTTTTTACTTTTATTTCCTCAAGGATCCTTTGACAGAAGTGCAAGAAGATAGTGGAGAATTTCTATATTGTTTACCCAGAAACAGACACGAATCAAGAGGCAGATACGATCCATATGATTTACAAGTTGTCTCCCCTAATGAAGCTAGATCAGAGAAAATCTACTGGACAATAAGTGCTTCTTTTGTTACCATGGTAAGCAGACTGTAACATTGTTTATGCTCTATGTACTTACATTTTCCAACTAGGAGCAGTAAAGTAGAATGTAAATGTCCATTCATTTGATTCCTAAACCTAAAGAAGAAAATAAAACTTTGTTAAAACGTGAACTTAAGATATTGAATTAGGATTTGACCTTTTAAGAAAAAGTCCAAGTATAGAATATGATTTATTTTCTGTTTGTTTGTACTAGTTATGTTTGTTTGTTTTTTAGTGTCACCAAGGAACAGGTGATGCACAAGACTCTTCAACAAATACACCTACATTATGGTGGATTTGGGAAAGACGCCATTATTATGAGATCTACAACTTAAAAGTGTTTGCTAATTTCAGGTAAGTTGAAAGTTTAAGGATATCTTTCCGCAAAAATTGTATAAAATATAACATATTTATAACAATGTTTTGAAGATCTTGTTTAAAGAAAGCTTAAAATCTAAGGCATACAGACTATGCTTTTATTATATGTTTTGTTGATCAAATGATTGGATTTGATTTTTTGTTCTTCAGAATAAAGAAAACCTTCAAAAATTGGTGTCAAAATATTCGCCATCAGAAGAACAAAAGCAATCAGTAAGTGAACATTATCTCAATCCCGACTTCTAACTATGCTATCTAAAAGATAAACATCACTATAGAATCATTTCATGTAACTTTCGTATATCACCCAGCCTCTTTGGAGACGTTTCCTGATACAATGTGTTTTGTAACTTGGATATTATTTGTCTGTCTGATTGGAAAGATCCCAAAGTGTGCAGTAGTATCAGCTGCTAGCTGCTTTCTTTGCAGTGTCCATTGGATACCATTGTATTCTATGTCAATCCATAGAATAACCCATTTCTGAGTCAAACTAATAAAGTCCATACCTCTCTTTAAACATTAAAGTATTATCACATCACAAAAAATACCTACACTGAAAAGAATACACACACTATCACTGAAAGCATGATTTACTCCTACCAACTGATAAAATATTACATAATATCACATATCACGTTCTGCTGATCAGCATTGCAATTAGCATTTATATTTAAACATCATAATCTTAAAATATTGAACCTAAATAGTATCACAGAACATTGAGCACAATTTGCTTGGTGTTTGATTTGCTGTTTGAAGTTTTATTAGGAACTGAAGAAGTCTATTTGTATATTTGCTACTTTAGGAAAATACCAGGTAAGTTCAGTTTATTTTACATTATATTGGTAATAATCTTAAATATTTTCTCTTTCACTCAGTATGACTTTCTGCATGTTATATGGATGTTTTTTAATCTGCATGGAATCATTCACACTCCAATACAATATTCTTATCATCTATATATCAGCCAAGCAGTCAAATTGTCTGTTAATATGCCTTTAGATGTTATGGTTTTTTGTCTTCTTATAAAAGTAAAAATTGACAGGGTCAAAGCTATTGATGTATACATATTACCAAACAATTGGTCCAAGACTTTTAATTAACACAGCCTTCTTTATCAGAAGCCTGATAATAGAACTTATTATGTAGGTCCAGTTGAAAATTTGTTGATTGAAATTTTTGTACATGAAATTAAACAACAAGATAAGTGAACTCTACAAAAGTTATACTGTGTGGACCAGTTCTTTCACTGAATGCATATCATTATTAAAGAAGTGTGTTATACCCTTGTGGTTTTTTTATGAAATGAAAATGAAATGAATGGAGTTATACATCCTACTTTTCTGCACCATGTGGGCTACTGAAGACGGGCAACGCCATGCAGGGTGTGATGAGGGAAATTTTGTCAAGACAGCGGCATTAGCCTGCTCTTTTTCGATTTCCAAGTGTCGAGGGATTTTTAACGTGCACAGCCTGTAGCACACGGTGCCTCAGTTTATTGTCTCATCCAAACGACTAGACACTTTTTCCATGTCAGTCCCTCATACTTGCATCACTGACAGGGGGAAACCGGGTTGAAAAATCTTGACCTAAGTTTTTTTTTCTAATATTCATATCATTGAGCAAATAACACGTGTAAATTGAGTGACATATTAATGATAAGATATTTTAATTTATTTGTAGATATTATTAGTATTAAATACTCAACACCCTGTTTTTTCTGTGGTAGTGATGATATAACAGATAATTTACTCTTTCTCTGGAAATACTATCTACATGATAATAAGCTGGTTCGTAGAAAACAAGATTATGGTATAGTCCGACCAGTCTGCTCAACGTGTCACCACCCTGATAGAAAGAAGATAGATAAACCACTTGAACCACCTTATGTTTATAAAGAACCACCAATGTTTAATTTAAAACATGTGTCATTTATTGAAGAATCAGAAATTGTGATCAAAGGATTTGATTAGATGTTTATCTGTTGGATTCAAACAAAAATACAAGCGATTTTCCTCTTGAAAATAAGGGTGAATCTTCAAAGTTGATTTTGCAAAATAGACGCAGGACATGTTAAACTTTCATTCGATACAAAAATCATACCTCTCGGGACAAAATTAGCTGAGTTATGGCCATTTAAAGATGAGGTTGTGGGTTGGCCACCAGCCTATACCACTTATAAGTTGTGTCAGTCTCTCAAATATAATAAATTTAACTTTTTGATATTGATAATGAATACAATGTTGAAACCAAATCAAATTTCTTTGTATAATTATTGTTTAAATTAATATATTATATGCGTTTGCTTCAAAATAAAAAAAAACTTACTCTTTTGTTGTTTTTGTCTTTGTCCCTTGTCCGTCTGTCAATTTTTTGCATAAAGATCATTTGTATAGATATGATACCTTTAGCTTCTGAAAAACAGAAGCTTTAGTAACCAATCTAGAGGGTTCTTCAGCCTCCATTGGTGTACTTCACCAGTTTCCAAACCTCTTATCAGGGACTCCCTTGATTCTGGCTAACTGAGATGTTGAAGAAAAATGAACTGGACTTCTTTCTCGGTGTGAGATGACCTTGAAAAACTTATCTTTTAATTTTTTTAACCCAAGATTTACATGGATTATGATAAACCAAGAATGATCATTACCAAAAAGATTATCCATAGACTAGCTCGTTTTTAGCCTGTGTGAAATATGAATAGAATGTGTGGGTTTGGTTTTTTTTCAAAATAAACACTTAAATGTAAAAACTTTTGACTTGTAGATTGATCCTAGCTAAAAATCTATTCACTGCTAATGAAGTACTACAAGGATGTTTATACCATGTGAAGACATTATGTGAGGTGGCTAGAAATGGAGGTAAAGATATGGAAGAAGACAGTATTATAACACTTGTAGACTTGGATAAATCTCTTACTTTAACCCTGGAAGAATTTAAAACCAAACAAATCAACCAATGTAACAAAGCTTTAAATCAACTCAATCTATTGAGAGAAAGTGTTATTGATATTGTATGGCAGTCCTGTGCAGTAAGTAGAGATTTTTGTACAAGCCTACATTATTATGTGTATATTATGGTTACACATGTCCATCGGTCCAATATAAACTTGTGAAGACTATAAGTATATAGATATTCGGTCTTGATAGTACATAATTCAATCCTACATTTCTGAACATATAAAATACATAGCTTTTACTGAACAGAACATATGATTGGCTGAATTATTATTCTCCAAAAATTATGTCAGATTCTAACTTGACAATAATTGTAAACACACATCTAGAACAGAAATTAGTTGATCATAGCATATCGTATCCTAATACATCAATTCATCGATATATCATGCCAGCACTAATGTAGATAAATACATGTTATCTATTGTAGGCAGTAGCTGAAATGGAAGGGGTAGAATCTGGTATATACCCTGATAATGGAGAGAAGAAAGTAAGAATTGAAAACCCCACATCAGATACAAGTAGACGTACTTCAAGATACAAGTTAAAAACTAATAGAGGAGCTATTCCATTACTAGATATTAAACCGTCTAAATCTGATAATAGTAGGTCTTATTCTGTATTAATCTAACTAGAGTTTCTCAGGTATTCTGAATTCAGCACACATTTAATTGCAAATTGGTTATAATAACATTTCAGATAGAAAATTTCAATACACAATGGGTATTCAAAGTTAGGAATTGTTCATATGTGAACTTCAGAAAGATTGATATATGAAATGGCGTAAGTGCATAATGTTGATTGGTGATGCAATTGTTAATGTGCTTTACTCATGATTTGTTTTATGATTACACCTTTCTGGAACACCTGATACCAGTTTGTGACTTTGAGAAAGACAACTTATTTATCAAGGAATGGTTTTATTATTCAGAATTTATATTTGCAGACAAGCCATTATATGCTGAAATAGCCAAATGGAGAAAGATACTGGCCAGAATGGCCTCGTTTTTAAAAGCTGTTGATTATTTGTTAATGGATTTATTAAGATTTCTTGTTAAAGATGGTGTTCAGAAATTATTAAATCATTTTATGGTCACGTATCATGCACCTGATGAAGAGGAAGAGGACAAGGTTTGTTTGATTAATTTCATAAAATTCAAAGCCCAACTCAAGCAGTTAACCATCTTAACAATTTCAGCAAACTTTGTACTTGATTGCAATAGCCCTTTTCTTGTATGCAGTTCTTAGTCATATCTCTACCCTCTGATATTATTATCATCATCAGTGATCTTAAGTTCTCAAAACTTCTATTCATTTAACTGTGGTCGCAATTTCTTTTTGTAGGGTTCAGAGGCAGGAAGTGATTCATCCCTATCTTATAGAAGTAGTACAACACCAAGATTTAGACCCTATCAAAAGTAAGAGCAGTATTGCTTGAAATAAATCCACATCATAATACACCAAATGCCATTGATGTAAAAGTATTCTTAACACAAAAAAACTGCTTAATTTTACAAGATAATGATAATCCATACTCTATTCTGTCAGAATAGCAGATAGGCCAATAAGCATACATTGGTATAATTTCATAACCATTTTGTCTGATACCTCATACAAGATATCAAATCAAATCATATTGTGTGGTATGTTTACATGTCTCTTGTGGACGTTGTGGTTCTGGTGAGAAATCAAGAAAATAAATCCTATCATGTAAAAAGAAAAAATAATAGACATTTCTTTCACAGACGATTTAGTCCAGCTGTTCATGAAACCATGACAACCAAGGAATCACAAGGGTATGTTATACCAAGATATGATTTTGATCAGATTGAGGAAGAAGACAAACCAATTGATCCAGATGAGGTGGGTTATTTTTATGAATTTATTGTACAGGTTTGAGGTACAGGTTTCTAAATAAGATTATTTCCGACCACTACAGTTAAAATTTAAAATCCATGAACTTGCTTCCACATGGCTAATATTATTCATCAATTGAACAAACATTTTTGTAATATACTCAAAATGTGCTACAAATATGCAAAAAAATTGCTTGCTCTCTTGTCAGACATAACTGTAAATAAACTAACAAAACAAGTATAACTTTTATAATCGCAAGTTATATACAATTCACTAAAGTGATTTTGTATTAATCCTTAAATGACATTTAGGTGTAGTGATCACATAAGATCCCTAAGTAGTGGTATACCATCAAATTTACTGATTTCAAATTTCAAACTGTGATAACTGTTCATTGTAGATATTAGAAGAAATTCGACATAGAGATGTAGTTAAAGAGATTATTAAACCAGCTTTTAAAGTATCATTAGTACTAAATCTACCACAATCTTCTGATACCACTACACCACCTAGTAGAAAGAAGAGAGCTGGTAGCATTCTGAGACAAATATCATTAAGAGATGAAGATGACAATTCTAGATTAAAGAAAACTGTTCAATTTCAAGAAGGACAATCAGGTTTGTAGCCTTTTAATATGCCTTCATCTCTAATTTAATTCAGGATCTATAAAGGTGAAGACAGTGAAGGTTATAATTCTGGTTAACCAGTATCTGTATATTATGTAATGTGTATTTTTTAGGTGAAGACAGTTATAATTCTGGTGAATCATGATCTATATATTATGTAGTGTGTATATTTTAGGTGAAGACAGTGAAGGTTATAATTCTGGTGAATCATGATCTATATATTATGTATTGTGTATATTTTAGTTGAATACAGTGAAGGTTATAATTCTGGTGAATCAGGATCTGTATATTATGTATTGTGTATATTTTAGGTGAAGACAGTGAAGGTTATAATTCTGATCAATCAGTATCTATATATTATGTATTGTGTATATTTTAGGTGAAGACAGTGAAGGTTATAATTCTGGTGAATCAGGATCTGTATATTATGTATTGTGTATATTTTAGGTGAAGACAGTGAAGGTTATAATTCTGGTGAATCATGATCTATATATTATGTATTGTGTATATATTAGGTGAAGACAGTGAAGGTTATAATTCTGATCAATCAGTATCTATATATTATGTATTGTGTATATTTTAGGAGAAGACAGTGAAGGTTATAATTCTGGTGAATCAGGATCTGTATATTATGTATTGTGTATATTTTAGGTGAAGACTGTGAAGGTTATAATTCTGGTTAACCAGTATCTGTATATTATGTAATGTGTATTTTTTAGGTGAAGACAGTTATAATTCTGGTGAATCATGATCTATATATTATGTAGTGTGTATATTTTAGGTGAAGACAGTGAAGGTTATAATTCTGGTGAATCATGATCTATATATTATGTAGTGTGTATATTTTAGGTGAAGACAGTGAAGGTTATAATTCTGGTGAATCATGATCTATATATTATGTATTGTGTATATTTTAGTTGAATACAGTGAAGGTTATAATT